CTTCCATCTTCCGCCTCTTCCCATGCAATCCCTCCCCCGCCTCGTTGACCACCAATAGTCTCTCTCAGATCTGCCAATCAACAACCAATCGCAAACCCCATAGCTCCATAATTTGGTTCCTTCTATTTCTAATCTCCACCAGTCCATTCAATCTTCTTCCAACTATAATCCAATATATATCCTTAATGGGCACAAATCTCATCTTTGGTAGAAAAAAGTAAAAAGCCCAAACTTGAGACGACACACAGGGTGAGAAAGAACACCTCGTCCTTCCAGGCCCACCCAACCGAATATAGCTCTAGTGAGCATCTCTCCATCGGCACCAGCCACCCCATTGATCCCACGCCATGTGAACGCTATCACAAAACCAATCACGTTGATCACATAGAAGAAGGAGAAGCTCGCTATGACAAAATCTGAGCTCGACTGGCTGAGGCAACTAGGGTTGGGTTCTTCTTAGATTTAGGTGTGTATGGTTTTGGAATTTAGGGGATTTTGGATAGGAGTAGGAGAAGAAGGTGAGAATTTTTTGCGATTAATTGGAGTAGAAGCATGAGAAAAATAGAAACAGGAGAATAATAGTTCTTTATCTCGATTAATATGTGTAGAAGAAGAAGGAATAAATGTCGTGATCTGGAATTTAATTCAATGAACAAAGACGAAGAATGAAGAACATAAGAGAAGACCACAAAGAGGTATAATAAAAGGAAAATAATTTAATTTGAGGTTTTAGATCAAAATTCTGCCTCTCAATCCAAACGAGTAATTTTGGTCAAATCTTACATTCAAATCTCCCGGTATTGTAAATGAGAGATTTGAGACCTGGCTGAATACCAGGATGTAACTATCTCCTCTTTGGTTTCATTATATGAATATCTTTTGTCAAAAAAAAAAAAGATTTGAGTCAGAATCCCTCACAAATCCTTCGTATCTAAATCGACAATATAAACGACCCCTAAGTGGCATCATGTACATCTAAGTCCTAACTGCTAATAATAAGGCAAAACACATTTCCATAGCCACAACTTTCACATTTGTGACAAATATAGCCACAACTTTCGAAATACACGAAATAGCCAGAATTTTGATAGTTGTTTGACAAATCTAGCCATTTCCATTACGAAGTTTAACTGTGTTAGATATTTCGTTAGTTAAGTTAACAACACACTGCCTAGGATGTCACATTGGCGCACACGTAAGCAATAACTCAACCTGATTTGCCATGTAGATGCCACATCATAATTTAATTTTAAAATATTTTAGGCAAATACACTTTCATAGCCACAACTTTCACGTTAGTGACAGTTATAGCAACAACTTTTGAAATACAAGAAATAGCCAAAATTTTGATGCTTTTTTTAGCCATTTATGTTACAAACTTTCGAAATATACGAAACAATCATGAAAGTCTTCGATTTTTTCTCAAGGCTTTGTTTGAGAGGAAATGTAACGAATCGGGCCAATTGACAGCGACGAATCCAGCTTCACTAGAAACAAGAACAATCGCACCCGCAACAGTTTCGAGGAATTGGAGGGGAAAATGCACTACGAGCCGCCACATCCTTCCTTCCCGACCCATCGTTCTCTGTCGCCACTGGAGAAACTGTCTCCTTTTTCACCGTCGTCGCCAATATCTTCTTCTTCGCGGCCGTCGTCAGCTTCTTCCCAACAACTTTCTTGCCTTTTTTCTGTGACTCTACCAATCGTTCAAGGCCTTCTTCTTTAATCTAACGATTGGGATCTAATCGGCAATTCGGGAAATAAGGCCTCCTTCTCCATTCATAATGTTTAAGTGACACCGTTAAAGGGATTAACGAAAGTGAGTATTTTTGAGAGTTGTGGGTATAACTGTTACAAACGTGAAAGTTGTGGCTATGGACGTGTATTTTGCTCTCTTTTTTGTTAATCCACGTGGATCGCCAACTCAGCACTTCCGTTAGTCCATTCATACTGTTAAGTGACACCATTAAAGGGATGGACGAACTATTTTGTGTATTTCGAAAGTTGTGGCTATAATTGTGACAAACGTGAAAGTTGTGGCTATCCAAGTGTATTTTGCCTGATAATAAATAGGGTCGCATATATTATATGTCTCTGTACTATGCAACTTTATCAAACATTCTCCTCTACTATTTTCTTACATCAAACATATCTTTGTACTTTAGAAAATTATCAAACATGCCATTTTGTTCATAATTTCGTAAAAAACCCTTCAACAATGGTCCAACCGTTGTACAGGAGACCTAACCTCGGTAAAATGTGAGAAAAATTGCCAATGTGCCTCTTTATTTACGTCTTTAAGTCTCATTAAAGTGATATTATTAAGAGTATTAAGTTTTACAAAAGAAGCCAAAAACATTATAAGTGAAAGGGCTAATACCACTGGGAAACCCGAACTATTAACTTTGTGCCATTTGTGTCCTAAAGTATCCGATATGACATTTGTGTCACAACATATGATAGTTGTATGTCATTTATGTCCCGTCGATTTCGTTGACCGTTATAGATAACGGTTGACCAAACGGACATCACAGATTTGCTGACGTGGCAAAACAATAGCTGCCATGTAGATGCCACATCATTAAATATTATTTTTTGATTAAAATTTTAATTTTTAAAAAATAAAAAAGTAAAAGAAACCGGCCTAGCTACCTCCCTCAGCCTCTGTTCTTCAATCCTCAACCAAAAGCGGCCCAGCCATCGGAGAAGACAATTCATTTCCGCCTCTGTTCTTTGAAAATCGGGGCGTTGCCGACGGGAACTGTCAAATCCGGGAAGCTAAATCTGTCCTGTGAAACGCACATCCAACCTTCGATTTGCGCCATCCAATCCTGCAATCCGCCGCCAATTGGAGCCTCCAGCGACACCGCCGACTTCTCCTTCTCAGCGAAATCGAAGCCCCAATTCTCGGCGAGCTCGAGCGCGGATGGGCAGCCGGAGAAGCCATCGAGGGAAGCGCGGTCGTGAGAGGCAGAGCAGCTGCCGTGAGCGTCATAGTCGCACTCCTGGCAGAGGACCAGATTATCGGTGGCGCAGCGGACGGAGACTGGCTCGGAGCTGCAGTTGTCGCAGATCTGGGAGCGGATGTGCTTCTGGGAGAGGGGTTAGCGGAGTGGACGTGCTGGTCGCAGAACAAGCAGAGCTTCGTCGAGACGGCTCGACAGCAAAGAACAGCGAGCTGGTCGCTGCAGAAATCGCACGGGACTCCGTCGGCGCCGTGGCCCTTGCTGTCCGGTTTCCGACCCGCCATTTTTGCCGCGGAGATGAGAGCTTCGGAGAAAGGTTAGAGGAAAGAAGAAGGAGATTAGACTTTTTGGTGTCGGGGACCTAAGGAGAGAATGAGAAATATCCAATTAGTTTTTTTTTTGGAATTTTAATTTTTTATATGGAAAATCATTATAAATTAATATTATATATTCCACTTTAGATGCCACATCAGCGCTGAATAGACTTTCTGTTAAAAACTAACAGTCAATGCCGGTCAACTCTAACGGAAAAATAGTTTAGGACACAAATGTCGTATTGAATACTTTAGGACACAAATGACACAAAGTTAATAGTTCGGGTTTCCCAGTGGTATTAGCCCTAAGTGAAATTATAGGGATATTGTAGATCTTGTGTCCCCCAAATCACGATTTGAACATGGTTGACGATTTTTTTATGAAAATTTTAAGAGAAGATATATGTTTGATAATTTTTGGGGGTATATTGCAAGTTTGGCCACTAGAACTACTTAAAAAATTTCATGTTTCATCACTAAAAATATTGAATTCCATTCCTGGTCACTAGGTTTAGCAAAACATGTAATGTTAGTCACTCTCCGTTACCTTCTGTCAGTCTCCGCTAACACCGTCAGTTATTTGTTGATGTGGCTAACAGACTTGCCTAGTCACCTATTTTTAAACTGAAAAACTAAATTCTAATCCTTCCACATCATAATAAACCTGCTCACGGGATTCAAAAAACATTGGGAGTCCTGCTGCTTATGATGGAGGAGGGGAGGTTTTGAAGTGTACGTATGGAGAAGGCATTGGTTCGTTTTCTAGCCAGTCGTAGTTCAAGAGGAAGTCAATTTGTTCAAAGAGAAGACTAAGTCTAGGTTGATGGATCCACCGCAGCAGCAGCTAAACTCGCAGCCGGAGAAATCGGACGGATGCTCACTAGGAAGACGGGGCAGTTGAAATTTGGAGGAAGACGATCCGTTGTTGGAGGAAGGAGAAGAGACTGACCCTGCCGCCACCGATTGGCGACGAAGCGAGATCTGGGTTCGCCAACGAGTTGGAAGGGAGAGAGCGCTAGAAATACAATCGAAGGAGGAGAGTCTGCTCTTGTTACCGCCAATTTGTCAACGAAGCGAGATTTGGGGTTCGTCGACGGGTTGAGAGGAGTCGAGATGGATCCCCATTGGTGGTCGGTGCGGAGATGACACAAGATTTTTGGATATGGAGTTAGGACGGGATGATGTAAGAGTAAGAAGGAGAAAGCGGCGGTGGTGGATTTGGGGGAAGCGACGGCGGAGGGGAGCCGATTGAGGAGTGTGGTGGTGGTCTTGGGCTGTGGCAGACAATTTGTATAGATCATGGATTGGGACATGTGTTGGGTTATGTTTTTAATGACGTGGAGGGTTGTGATGATGTGTCGGGTCTGGTTTAGTATTTTCCGGGTTAATACGTCTGATTAGGTGATTTCGCTTGCCACATTAGCACTTAACGTACCCCATTAACGGAATTAGACGGAAAGTAACGGAGAATGACCAAATTTGGACTGATAAACTAATTTTAGTGACCATTATTGAAGTAAATGTTTTTAACGATAGCAATCCCAGTAACCAAACCTTACCGTTTACCTTTTTTCAAAATAATTCAACTAACGTGCTCCGGCAGCTGTGAACGGCGCCGTTCCAACACACTGTTTTGTTCTCTTCTGTCTTCTCCAGGTTCTCGTGAAAGAGCAATGGGCGGAACTTATTAATTTCTCAATTTTCTCTTCCCTCGCTCTCTCAACCTCCTACCTTTCTCACTCTCTTCCCCGTCGTTCTTCTGAATTCTGATTGCTAGTCATGGCCGCCATGAGAGACCTTCCGTTACAGAAAGTGGCGATTTCGGGTCCCACATTAGCCTCCATGCTTCAGCGCTTCTCCTCCTCCGTCGGCGATGTGGACGGCCTTCTCTTCGGCCACGTAACGCACCTCGCTCCCACTCTTACCGACGACGCTCCCCATACCTCTAACTCCGACCCTTCTTCCTCCTCCGATTCACCGGAACTCGTAGCCACCATTACTTCCTTCATATGCCCTAACTCCGTGCTCTCCTTCTACGACGCTTTCGGCCTCGTGGATACGCCTTCCCTCCAGCGCCTCCTCGTCGCTCACCCCGGCCGCCACCGGCAACACCTCCTTGGCTGGTTCTCCGCTCGCCGAAGAACGTCTAACCGTCCTTCGATGCGGGAATTTTCCGTGACGCGCTGCCTCTCCTCCAAATCCGAGCTGTCCCTCCCTGTCGAGAACGCGGAGAGTCCGGTAAATCTCGCCCCCTGTGTATTTCTCCTGTTTGCTACCCCCGTGCAAGAGCAATTGATTCATACGCATGAGTACCGCGCCTACCAGTTCCGTAATTCCACGGAATGTTTCGATTCTAAATCGGTTGATATAGTGAACATTGGCCCTGCCTTCCGCGGGCATTATGGTTCGTTTAGCCCTAATTCGCCATTTCCAATGTTGAGCTGCGATTTGAGGAGTTCGTCGGCGATGAATGAGGATAGAAGCGAGGAGAGTAGTTTGGTTGAACTGAAGAAGGTGGCCAATGATCAAAAGGAGTTGGATATGTGTGCTGAAGGTTATGGGGTTGCAAACTTGAACAGATTGATTGGTCATGAGGCTACCAGTTATACTGCAGGATTGGAGGATTTGTATGAGAAGATGTTGGTGAAGATTCAGAGCTTGGCTAGAGAAGTGGAAAGTGGCAATGCCAAGGTTCATCAGCTGGTGAGTTGTTGCTAATCTTTGTGATTGTGTAATCAAGCAAGCAGTCAAGGAGACATGAAATTCGTCAGCTATAGATGACAATTGAATGCTTATTCAATTTGAAATCTTGCAGGAAAGTCACAACCGGAAGTTGAGGTACAAAGTTGGCAAGGGTGGAGTTGAATGACAGTTGAAGTTTTGTGCTATGGATTGACGCCTGTGGCTTCAAGGGGTCGTGTAAGGTAACTTGTTTTCTTCTATTAAAGCTCATGTACTTGACTTCATAAAAGGGGCACCCTTGCATTATTGTCTAGACAAAGATGCGAGAAGAGGTTTGAAATAGAGTTAATTGTAGAACTCTTAATTGTTGATTTTATTGGTTTCTGAGAAGAAAAAAGAATGGTGCATTCCTTCTCTTGTGAGTGATAATAGTAGGAAATCTTCTGTATTTTTTTTATTATAAATTTGTGATGATTTAACCTACGCAGTTTGTCAAGATTCTTTGTAACTGATGCTGCTAAGGGTCTCCTGAAGCAGCCCTATGTGCCTCTGCCTTTCCAGGGTTTGTGTAGCTTTGCAGCTTCAATGCAATACGACTTAAAAACATGCGTCTATGAGCGATTTATATGTGATGTGTACAAGTGTAGGAAGGATAAAAGCTTTTTGAGTCATATACTGATGCAAATGATATTGGTTTTCTTTGGTCGCAAAGGGGTTGAGGTTTGTCTGAGGTAACATGGAAAGAGTTACAGATTATGGATATTAGGCCCATCTTTTTACCACTTTCTTGGTTTAAAATGCTTCTATTGGAGTTTGCAGTCATAAACTTTTTATGTTTCTTCGTGAAGCCAAACTAGGCAATAAAGCGTTTCGCTTCCTTAGTCTTGATCCACTGCTACCTTCTTAGAGGCTCTTGTTTCTTCCTATAGAACAGATGTCACTTGCCACCAGGGTTCTACAAATAAAATGCTGATTTCGACTTCGGTCTTTTTCTTTGAAACATTTATCATCACCCTATTTGATGGAATTGTCACCAGTAACTTGGTAATTAGAAGCAATAACCTATAGGAAGTGATCCAATGGTGAAGGTGTAACCGTGACAGATTTAGACAGATGAAACAGAAATGTTATTTTTCCACATAATGTTAGCCACAACGTTCATCTTAGGATGGTTGGATGTTTTCTATCTTCCATTATCTCTATAGCTGCAATAGAATTTTACAGATAAGATATGAGAGTGGAAGAACGCTATACTCTGATCAATCTTGAATACTTGGCACCGTTGTTTGAAAATGGAAAGAATGTTTTATGTTAGATGGGAAAACTAAATTGGTCGGATCACAACAGTGAGTATGATTAACGGTGGCTGCTGAACTCTGCATTCCAAGTTCACTTTCTGGTTCATCGTTTCCAGTTCATAGGGTGATTAGAAATCCGAACATTTTATTTATACTGTAATTGTTATGTTTGCAGAGTATGGAGGTGATCAATAATTAACTTCATCTTCTTCCTGTTTTTGCCAGAATTCCCTGAGAGAACAAGATCTTGAACTACTGTTTTTGAGAATTGTAATCAAGTCATTTTCTGGCAAAGCTTCTTGAGGATTGGTGCTCTTCATGGCCACTCATTTTGAGGCGAAGTTGGACAAGCCAAATGCTCGAGGGTTGTTTTGCAGAATGGCCTACCAGCTCTCTGCCTTGTCTGTCTGATGTAAAACCTTGTATAAACTCCTTTTCTGTTCAGAGCTTTCTTCCTTGTGCTCTTTCAAATCCCTGTCAGGAAAATGGATAGAAGAACAAACTAAAAAGAAATGTTGATTCTCAGTACCCTTCATTTTGTAGTTTGTACCACTTTAAAAGTCAAAATCTCTTCTGCATTCATATTTGCTCTCAGGGCTGGCATCTTGCGAAAATCGCAGGCTTAGTGCCTCATCTATGTTTTATTTTTCCCAATAGATTCCTCTGAGAAAGAGAGAAAACATAGTTCACATATATATAGACCCTATCTACTAGGTAACCATGCAACAAAGTAAAACTTCGCTATTAATTGAGGTGCGCCATCAAATTAGTTACTCTGTTATCTGTCTTAAGAACAAATATAACGGATGCAGCTGGAAGGTCCTGAAGAAGCAAAGCAATATCTTGAACCATAATCCCAATCTAGGAATCACTAGTTGGCTTTCTGGTACCCATATGGGTAATACCCATCCCGTACATCCAACATCAATTTTTTTATTACTCAGGAACCTCAGCCCCACGTGTCACTTTGTGACAGCGGGTCCTACTAAATCTGGGGGCCACCGACAATCAAATTCGACGCCACTGGGGTTTTGCCCCCAACAGCCTTGTACCTCCGGGAACACCCACGGGCCTCGCTTGGATTCGAACCTGGGATCTGCAACTCCAAGTCTTCACTGTCGCGACAGCTTTACCGTTAGACTATCTTACCTTTGGTGTACATCCAACATCATTATAAGACTTTACATGTAAATTTTCAACTATAACAATAAACAGACCTATTATATCATTAAGTCAACAAATATACAATTATTCTTAATACGATTCAAATCATATGATTACTTGGAATTGTGTTTTACATTGAGTAGAAGAGGAGAATTAAATACCCACTCTAATGTACACAACTAACCCACGTAGCCTACAGAAGTGAAACAACTTAACCACTAAAGACTCCCCTAATGACAATCTACATCTACACAATAAATAAAAGCCAAATGAGAAAATTTGAAGTCCCATTTCAAATTTCCTGCATCCAGAGTGAAAGTAGGAATGACATTTTGGTCTTCAGAATTACTTTTTTTTATTCATTAAAAAGACACTTACTAGGATTCGAACCATGACCACTTTAAAGAAAAGCAAAGATCATAACCAATCACACTAAGTACATTTGTTGTATTTTTTAAATTAAAAACATATAATCGTAGAAAGGAAAAAACCCTTCCCCCATTTCAAATTCCCTGCTCTAGGAGCGTTTGTAGGAAGGGTAGAATAGGGAGTGTCAATTTTTTTTCTTTTTCCTCTGTGGAACGGGCCAACTTACCGTACACATGCGGATTTTAAAGTTATTCCATGGTTCAACCTCGACCAACCCAATTAGTCCAATTTTTATCATTTCAAATATATATTATGTAATTGCTTGATATCATAATGATTAAATTATAGTGTATATTATAGGGAATCGTTTGGTATTTGTTAGTAAAAAACTAAACAGAAAGATCTATTTGGTTATTTTTAACATTAAAACAATCCTAAATATTTTCAGTTTCCTTTCGAAATTCTATAGTTTTATTCCCGAATTAGTGATGTGCAAATGACCAATTGCAGTCATCTCTTTTTTTTCATTATTTTTTATTTTCAAATAGAAAGTTTAAAAGTAAAGAATAATTAGAGTTTGGCATAGGTCGGTCAAACAGGCTGAATTTCAAGTTTTGGCCCCTTGATCAAGTCTAATTTATAATCACATGGTTTCCTGATACCCGATAAAAATCTCAATCCAAACCAGTTTGGTAGGTGATTCCGTGTTTACCACCATTTTCTAGGGATACAGGAACGGTGGTTCCTATCCCAAATCGTGTTGTTCATTCTTGATTTCTTTAGATTTTATCATGGCTTGGCAAAAAACCAGAAAGCACAATGATGACAAGATGAAAGTTTTATAAAGCAAATTAATCGGCCAACGGGCCGAGTAAAAGCTAGCAACGATTGTGAGATACTCATTTCCCGAAAACCGACGGGATAGGCGATTTTTTATTCGATTTTCTGGAATTCGGTTTCTATAAAACTTACTCCACTTCATCATATTACCAGAACAATATTATTTTACAAGGTAACAAGTACTTGATTTTGGTTCATAAGGGTGATTTTTGATTCATTGCATCATTCATGTCTCTTTCCTACTAAAATTCACTATTTTTATCACGTGTTTCCAAAAAAAAAACTATACAACAATAAACTATTTACCCCACTACATTATCAATGTCATACCTCACCTTCCTCCGGCCAAATGGTCGGGGCCACGCTAGTAATTAAAGAAATTAAAATAAAGTATTATTATCCTTTTCACCTAAAAAATCTATTAATCAATAGATAGAGTATAATATTTTTCAAATCATTAGTTTCTAACTCTGATACATCTATTAAGTAATAGTTAACTATCATAATTATCTTGTTAACAAGAGGGAAAAGTGAAAAAATGAAGTGAGAATTGACGTAAAGGAATTATATTTGGATTTGAGTGGGCCACTCAATTACATTTCTACTATATGTTGTCTTAAGTTACCTTCACTATCATTGATAGGTTTGAATTTGATCCATGTATTTTTTATATGTGAAGAAATATTTTTGGTGGGGCGGGTATGGATATGGGGCGGGAGAGGCTAAAATCATACCCGCCCCATACCCATCAAACTTTTTGCGAGTTTACCCATACCCAGTCAATGCGGGAATTTCCCACGTTGACTGGGTCGGGGGCGGTCGGGTACCTGCGGCCATGAGTTTGATTGCCATACCTACCATGAATGCAAATATTCATCAACTTGCGTTGAGAACATTCAAGAAGGCAGTCACGCAGTGCCATTGCCTCAAGAACATAAGGATTATAACAACCTTCATAACGAGTTTCTTTAGCTGCAATATAAGCATCGGAAGCATGGCGAAGAACAAAAGCTGCAGAGCTAGACTCTCCTGATCGAGTACATGCATCGAATGAGCCATAATAATCCACCATGGAGGAAATAGATGTAATGGATGAGGGATGGATTGTTGGTGTGCCACTGGCTGAATCGACCTACAGAAGAGCTCGATCATTCTCTAGGACTTGATGTTTCCATTGGGTTGCAAGCTCTTCCACTTTCACCTGCTTATACTCATAGAAAACAAAACATCGGTCCTTCCATATTCTCCAAAGCAAACAAACAACATGCAAAAGGAGATAATCCAAATCCAGACCCTCTTCTTTGAACAATAAAAGAACCCTTTTGCCAACTTCCCAAATGCTTATGAAGTCCCACCATCCTCCACAATTTTCTCGCGACAGGACACCGGAAAAATAAGTGCTCAATTGTTTCTTCCTTGTGTCCACAAACTGGACAAATGGGAATGATCTCCATCCCCCGCGTTACTAAACTTTGTCGAGTACGGAGGATACGATGTATGCACCGCCACAAAAAGAACAGTAACTTCTGAGGAACCTTCCTCCCCCAAACCCAATTCCAGACTGAAGAATCCTTCAAATCGATCCGTGGTTTCGATAGAATCGGATGTTGTCGATGAAAATCTAGATGATATGTTGACTTAACTGCAAATTTCCCCGTTGGTTCATAATGCAAGATCAGGGAATCTGGAAGCTACTTTTGAGATAGTGGTATCCCTTGGATTAATCTAGTAGATTCCTCTGTGAAGAAATGATGCAGAGTCGCGAATTTCTAGGATCGAGTTCCTGGATCAATTATGGTAGCCACAAACAAGAAGAATGTGATGAACCTGGAGAAGCTTGAGGTTTCGCAGGAGGATTTATTGGGATCCATGTATCGCTAAAAGCCCGTATTGAAGATCCATTACCAACCTGTCGGCGGAGACCTTCCTGTAACAATTCCTGACCAAACAGAACACTACGCCAACCCCATGAAGGATTACTTCCTAAATTGGAAACACCCATGCAACTTTGGCTAGCAGAGCTTGATGGAAACACCCAAACTCCATAAACACCAGATCCCCTTCTTGTTTGGGTGAACACAACGCCTTCCAAGCTCACTAATGAATACGTCGCTGACCCTGAACTGCCCCAACCAAAATTGAGCCATGAAATCATTCAGACATTTAATTAAATCACGAGGCATCCAAAAACACGGCATAACATAAATCGGTAGGGCATCTGCAACCGATTTGAGTAAAACTTCTTTAGCATCTGCGAAAAGAGCTCGATTCTTCCCTCCTTGAAGCAAGGATATCAATTTCTCATTCACAAAACGAAATTTATCCAATTTAAAGTGTCCAAGTAAAGAGGGAAGACCTACATAACGATCTTGTACTCCAAAGGAACCAACCCCAAGAAAACATCTAGATCCTCTTGATTAGATTGATCGAGATTTGGACTAAAGCAAGCATGAAATTTTTGCATATTAACCCGCTGCCCACTAATCTCTTGATACTCACGTAGGAGCTCCAGAAGCTTACCTCCATCTCGTCTTGAAGCCCGTAAGAAGAGAAAAGATTCATCTGCAAAGAGTAAATGTGAAACCACTGGACATAGAGGGCTCATCCTGTCACCATGAATACCGTGAGAGCGAATGGCCTTCTTAAGTAATGTTGTAAAACCTTCAGTGCAAAGCGTAATTAAAACATAGATAGAAGTTCTCATTGTTTAAATCCCCACGAAGAAGGAAAATAACCAGAGAGACGACCATTCACTCTGACTGAGAAAGTCGTAGAGGTAATGCACTCTCGAACCCAATGAATCCAAGTATGAGAAAAACAAACTTCTCCATATCCAACTTTAGTGCCATGAATTTTTCTCTTTCCCGACGCTTATTAGAGATGAAATGCATGATTTCATGAGCGACCAGCAAATTATTAATAATCTAACGATCCTGAACAAAGTCATTCTGTTTCGGAGAAATAAGATTAGAAAAAAGAGAACCTAATCGATTTACAAGAAATTTAGTAATGACTTTCTCAAGGAATTGACAGAGACTAATTGGCCAAAGCTGAGAAACATACTCCACCCTATCAACTTTACGGATAAGCGTGATCCAAGTATGGTTCATATTTCGAAGTCACTTACCGTATGAAAAAACAATGAGAGAGCTCTAATAACACTATCCCCAACAATATGCCAAAAAGACTTGAAGAAGCACCTCGTAAACCCATATGTACCCGGAGTTTT